GCCCCAAGCACCACCGACCGGCCCCAAGCACCACCAACCGGCCGCAAGCACCACCGACCGGCTGCAAGCACCACCGACCGGCCGCAAACACCCACCGACCGGCCCCAAGCACCCACTGACACCGACTGGCCCAAGCACCCACTGACACCGACCGGCCCCAAGCACCCACCGACACCGACCGGCCCCAAGCACCCACCAACACCGACCGGCCCCAAGCACCCACGGACCGGCCCCAAGCACCCATCGACAGCCAACGACAAAGGGCCTCGCTGCACTACTCTCGACATCCACAAAAAACAAAAATCATGACCGTGTATCTGCCCGTATTTCAAGAGTAGTGCAGCGAGGCCCAAAGCATAAAAGAGAACGCAAAAACGAAACGAAACCGAACTCGCCCGAGAAAAAAACAAACGTGTCCACAAAAAACAAAAATCATGACCGTGTATCTGNGCATAAAAGAGAACGCAAAAACGAAACGAAACCGAACTCGCCCGAGAAAAAAACAAACGTGTCCACAAAAAACAAAAATCATGACCGTGTATCTGTCCGTATTCTAGCGGAAGATTCACTACTCTCGACATCCACAAAAAACAAAAATCATGACCGTGTATCTGTCCGTAATTCAAGAGTAGTGCAGCGAGGCCCAAAGCATAAAAGAGAGCGCAAAAACAAAACGAAACCGGACTCGCCCGAGAAAAAAGCAAACGCCAAACGCGTCAGACGCATCAGGCGTGTCAGAATTTTACATCGGAAGTCTCAAGCATCGCGATGCAAACGATCGTGCGTCAGAATTTTACATCGGACGTCTCACGCTTCGCGATGCAGAAACACTAACATGGACCATTGCAGATGCGAGACTCGGTGCCGCGGCCGATAAGCTTTAGTAGGGTTGCTTGATATCATAGTTGCGGCACTGGTGTCATAGTTGCGGCACACCAGTGCGCAGTGCGGTGCGGGGCAGTGCGCACTGCGCAGTGCGGTGCGGGGCAGTGCGCACTGCGCTGTGCGCGGGAATGACAGCGTGCGCACTGTGCGCACGCTGAGGGAGGTGCACCCTGTGCACGAAAAAAAAAATAAAAAAAATAAAAGACAGGCCCCAAGAGAGAGAGAGAGAGAGAGAGAGAGAGAGAGAGAGAGAGAGAGAGAGAGAAAACGGCCCCCTTCACATCAATTTGAGGGCCCCAGCAGGTACCTCAAATGGCTCCTACAATACATGTGGAGCCATTGAGGGCCACTGCTTCAATGAGAAGGACGGCGTCGTCATGTGTGGAAGAGATGGGGGCAGACCAACAATATATGATGTGGATTCATGTTCAGGGCTGTAGCTCGGCAGTTATGGGTCACCAATTCAGCTAGACCCTGTTCGTGTCTCCACATGATTCTCAGGGCCTCCCTCCACCACTCACCAATATTAGTAGAATGAATCTTCTGCTAGAACATGGAACCATACACCGCCATATGCTATGCCTTTTGTGCATTTGGTGAGTAGTGGAGCAGGCCCCACTGGACGTATTCGTAAGAAAACAAAAGCAAAGAAAAGAGAGAGCCACGGGCACCTTCATCCTAACCCATAACTGCCGACATGCAGACCTGAACGCCAATCTTCAGCATATATTGGTGGTCGGCTGGCCATGGAAAACGCAACTTGTGACATCTGCAAAGCTTCGCGAGGCAGGTAGTTATTAGGCGACTACCCCTTCTGCGAACTTACCCCACCACGGTGTGGGATTTGCAGAAGGCAGCGGGAAGGACAGCTTCCATACCCCGCCAAAAAAAAAAAGTTGGAATGAGCCCTCTTTTATGCTTCGCCATTCTGAAACTTTTGGGGGAAGGTCCTGCGGAAATCAAAATTCGGCAGCCCTTACCCAAAATAAAAATTTGGGTCGGGGGCACGGCCAGTTTCCAAGCTCGCGTGGTGAGTTTAACATTTTTGCCGAGTTGGAGGCCCTAAGAAATTACAAAACCCCTACTTTTTTTTCTTGTTTTTGGACCTAATTTTTCCGGTCCGCTGGGCTTCGGTGCGCTGCGCACGGTGCGCAATTCATGCGCACCGAGGTGCGCCGCAACTATGCCATATATGATATCATGTGACTATATGTTGTCAAATATATATATATATCGTCAAATATATATATATATATCGTCAAATAGAACTGCCCGGTAAACCGTAGGCAGAGAGGGAGAAGAGGACAACAAACGAGGGGCTGTGACAAACTGTTTCGTCGGAGTTTCACCGACT